GTGCAAAGGCTCAGAATTGGGGGAGCTCTAGAGAGCTCATTGGTAAAAGTTGTAAAAGTACAACTTGGAACAGATGACCAGTTTCTTCATTTAGCAAAAAAGTCTGATTTTTAATAGCACCCAGTTAAAGGGCTGACTCCCAGCCTACTTTGCAGCTAGTAGTGGTCATTTGACTGAGTTCTTGCCAGTTAGTTATTAGCAAAAACATTGTGTGGGAATTCTAAGAAGTCTATTAAATTGAGAAGGGGTAAACACTTCTTTTTCCCTTCCTCTATTCTGCTCCCAGGAACACAGATGTGATGGCTGGAGCTTCAGCTTCCATTTTGGACCATGAGGACAAGGGATAACCTAGGATTGGTAGAGCAGAGAGCTAGAGGAGGATGGGTCTCCAAAGTCTTCCTGTGGCAGCCAAATACAATCCCAGCCACCCTGGATTACATATCTCCAGTCTGTTTTTATATGACAGAGAAATATAATTCTATCTTATACCACTGTTACTTGGGATTATAGAATCCTATCCTCCCTGATTGGATTTCGGCATATATCAACTTCACACAAACTAAAATTACTATCTTCCATTTTTTATGACATTTTGAAAGGAAAGTTTTCAAAATGGAATTAGAATAATTTAAGAGGCAAAAGAAAGCAATACCACAAAAGCAGTCACTAATTTTGCCATATTCTTCTTCCCTGTTGTTCCTCTCCATTTGTCATTTGTTCTCCTTCCAACATCTGTGATGGTTAATACCCCTAAGTGGTAGAAGTTGGAATAGTGGTTATGTCGGAAGGGGAGGTGGTTACTGAGGAGAGGTCTCGAAGGGAATCTAGGTGTTGAAAATGGTCTATATCTTGACCTATGTGGTAGTTACACAAATATAGCTATGTTAACAGTCATCAGTTGTATCCCTGAGATTAGTATACTGTGTTGTATGTGTGTGACACTTCAATAAAAACAATTTGTGAAAATCCTCTCTAAAATCCCACACCATTTTATGGCCACCATAGGTATTTTAGTCTTAGAGGTACTTTCTCCCCCATAGTTGTTATTCAAGATTTGTATAATTTTGGGTACTCTCTCCTTCTTCCTGACTTAATTTTGCTGGGTTGGAAATGTTAGTAATCATTTTCCCAGAAACACTTGCAGCCAGGAGTTGTCGTGAGATCAGCATGAGCCAATGAGAAATAAGCAGAAGTCTGGTGGGTAGGACTTCTAGAAAAATTACAATTTTCTTGATTAAAAAAGGGATAGATTTGGGTGACAATGATGCATCAATGTGGGCTCATCAGTTGTAACAAATGGATCACTCTGGTGGGGAATGTTGCTAACGGAGTGGCTGTGCCTGTGTGCAGTGTATGATGAATCTCTGTACCTTCTGCTCAAGTTTGCTGTGAACCTAAAACTGCTCTTCAAAATAAATCCTAGTAAAAAAAATTTTTTTTAAATTATAGATCTACCTCTCATGTTTCATTTGCTCTCTGAACTCTCCATTCAGAATGTAATTTTTTTCTGCTCAGAATGCATGCAGATGCTTCTTAAGATCATGAAGCAAAAATCCAAATGTAGGGATGGTGGCGCAGAAGGCTCGGGGCCTGGGTTGTTGAGGACTGCTCCTGAGCAGCTGCACCAGCCATGGACTCCTTATTTCCTTTATGAAACATGAGAATAAGGAAACTCGATGTGTTTAAGGTTTCCAAGCACATTTGGCAATCCTTAACTGAGATAGAAGGCTTTTGACTTTATACATGGCAAAGACTTCTTGAGACACAAGGGAACTCCCAGGTGCTAACTCCCTGTAGCATTACAAGGACCCAAGGAAAAAGAAAGGGAAAACCCCGAAAACATGTCCCAAAGGAAGATTACATCTGCAAGCTTCCATCCAACTTTCTCTTGATAACTGTCTTCACTCCTCACTACCGGATATGAATTCCTCTGCCGAGGGAAGGAGCTGGGGGAGGATGACTCAACATTCAGAGGACCTTGGTTCATATAAACTTTTGTTTGACTTAGTAGTAAAGTATTACATCAACTGCATTACTGTTTCTCAATCTATTTTTAACCAATTTCTGCTTTTGATAAACACAAACTGTACTTTCTATACTTTGTACTAAGAAAACCAGGGCTTTCCCCTCTCTTGGAAAATCCCAATTTTCAAACCACACTTCCACCACTCTCTCCACCCGCCCAGGAGTTTCTGATACTCTCCCTACACTTCTTGTATACCAGCAGTCTAATTTCAGTTTCTATGATTCTGCAATCCAGACAGAAATACTGGTAACTCCAGTGATGACACAACTAGTGGGGAAACATGAGCCGCATATGGGGCAGAATCAGGTAAAGGGAGGGACCAAGGGAAGGCTGGGCTGGGAAAGCATCCCGTGTTGCCCCAAGTTAGCTCAACTTTTGCAGGGTCAGCCAGTCCTCACTGCAAGCACATCAGCTTTACTGAGGAAATCCATACCACTTCCATTTCCAAAGGCTCTCTTGACCCTCCTCCTTTGCTGAGGATCAACACTGAAAGGCAGTGTATCCAGCTGTCTTCTGCTCTTTCCCAAGGATGACATGAGCCCATGACAGCTGCCCAGGGGTCTGGGCTTCAAGCTGTGCTTGTAACCAAGGGGACCAAGGCTGGGGTCGTTTTTCAGTCCTGTTCTTGTTCTTGAAGGTCAGCTTTGCATGGACAGTAGATGGAAAAGAGAGATCAGGGAGGAAGGGAAAGGTCAGAGAACCTCCTCAAGATTCCAGGAACAAAGGCACAGTCCTCCCAAGTTCTTAGCTCTGCTTTGTCATCAAATCCAGATCCTTAAGCACATTCATGTCATAAATGCTAACTGGCCCTGTGAATTTAGTAGAGAGGAAGCAGTAAGTGGCATCTCCCCTCTATTCCCTGTGTATCCAAAATGCTGAGAGACAGAGAAGGAGGGGCTGATGAAAGATCACAACATTTGAGGTCGGAGTCAGAGAAGGAACTGAACGTGTGAAAGTCTGAGAGATGCCTCGACCCTACGAAACCAGAGTTGAGGGTCATGCTTTTTGTTTTCAGGGAGAGTGAAGGTCAGCGGCAGGAAGTCTGATGACCAGGCAGACCTCCTGTGGAAAGCAGGTGACATGACCGTACACCCTTGCCTATGTCTTTGTATGTTCCTGTGCGGGGACTACAGGACTTCCAGGGGCTGCTAGGGAAGCTGCTTTTAACCTGGACCCTCCCAGCACAGTTTTTTCATCTGTAAAATGGGGATGAGTGTACCTACCTCACAGGATGTTTTAAAGGATTAGATGAGTTCATCTCTGCAAAGCTCTTAGCTCTGTGCTGATACACAGTATCACAGAACAGGCAATACATGCTGGCTGGTGTACTGGTTTCCTATTTCTGCTGTAACAAACTGTCACAAGGTCCTGGCATAACACAGCAGAAATACATTCTCTCACAGGTCTGATGTCCAGAGGTCCAAAACCAGTATCACCTGGCTGGGGAAAACCCACTGCTTATCTCTTCCAGCTCCCCGTGGCTGCCAGCCTTCTTCTGTGTCTGAAATCTCCCTCCACCTCGTTCTTATAAGAACATTTATGATTACATTTAAGGCCCACCCAGATCAGCCGGATAATCTCCCCATCACACCCGCAAAGCCCTTTTTTGCCATGGGAAGTAACACCCACAGGCTCCAGGGATTAGGACATGGCTTTCTTCTGGAGGGGCCATTATTCAGCCACTGCAGATGGTGTTTCTGGCCAAGGGTGGAGTCTAATGAACAGTAATCAGGTGGACAGAGGCTGAGGGAGAGGCAGAGAAGCAAGAGAGGCCTCCAGGGAGCTGAGAAGAGGGAGGCTGGAGTGTGGCTCCCAGCAGTGGGCAGCAGGAACCCCGAAGGCCCACTGAAGAGGCCAACAGAGAAGGGGTCTGAAGGGCACTCCCCAGATGCTCTCCTGGGCTGCCCCTTCTTATTCCTCTTCCTCAGGAGGGCACCCGCATGGGGGCTGGGTGTGTAAAGGCTGCAGGATGGGATGAGACCACTGTCCGAATGACAGAGGAAGGGCTGGACAACTGACAACTAAAAGATGAGATGCAAGCAGGGAAGGGCAGAGACTGTCACCCTTCATGCCTTCATAAGGCCACTGCAGGGGCTGGAAAAGGGTAAGACACAAGTGGACGCAGGACAGCTATGAAATCTCAAAGTCTTTTTGGATGTGCTAGCCCGGAATCATCTTCCCTCTTAATCCCCAGGAGCGTTCCATTTCTCTCTGGCATCCTTCAGCTCCTCATTCATTGTTGTTTACTTAAAGTTATGTAGGCTAAATCCCAATGGATCCTCTCTATCTCCATTGCCACAGTCTCCTGAATCCCTGTCATCAATCATCAGCCCTCCTCTGGATGACTGTAGTGTACTTCCAGGGAATCTCTGCTTCCAACTTGCCTCACTGGAGACCATTTTTTATACAGTAGCTGGCATGATCTTCTCAAGCCATAAATCTCATCATGTCACTCTCCTCTATGGCCCTTAAGTGACTCCCCACGGCTTAAGAATGGAATCCCAGCTCCTTATTGCAGTCAGTGAGCCCCTGCAGTCTTGTCTCCTACTGCAGTCACCCCAGCTCACCATGCTCCAATCACACTGGCCTTTCTGTGACCCTCCACAGGGGTGCTTTCTGCCCCACACTCTCCAGTTCCTCCTTCCAAACCACTTCTCTGCCAGAACTTCTCAGAATTCAGCTCAACCCCTCAGTTGTCAGCTCAACGGTAACCCTAGTGATGGCTTCTCAGATGCCTCTGATGCAAGAGGTCCTCCTCGCCATGGTTGCTGTCCTTCTCATTGCCCTGCTTCGTCTCCCTCATAATGTCTGTCCCTGGCTAATTCCTCCTGTCCTCCCGCTTACTTGCAATTGTCCACCTCCCTCCCCTAGAGTGTAACCACCACCTCAATTCTTTTGACATTGATCTCCCTGGTGCTTGGCCCAGATCCCAGCACATCCGGGGAAGCAGGTACATATCTGACGAATGAACAAATGAAACAAAAGCTCTTTATTTATTGTTAGTGCCACTACTGATGAAATCCCACATTCCCCTCACTTTTGAATATTTTATATCTACATCCTCCTTCCTCATATTTGCTAAGCAGGATCTATGTAATAAAGATATATTAGCCTGAATTATCAATACTGACCATGAGGAAAGATCCTCATGGCTTCCAGCAAAAGTAATAAGAGAGCCTTAATCTACAAGAGAGCTCTCACGTGATTACTGGCTAGGATTTCTTATGACAATCCCAGAAGAAGGTAAAAATGAAGCATCTGAGGTCAAATATCTCTGAGCTTCTAAAACTGACTTATCTCCATTCCAATTCTTCCACTCATGCATCCACACACCATCCAGGAAATAATTATCAAGGGTCTAATATCTGTCAGGCTGTATGCCAGGCCCTGGGGCTATAATGGTAAGCAGCTGTGTTCCCTGCCTTCATGGATAGTCTCATAAGGGAGATGGACATTAAGTAAATCCTCACACAAACAAATATATTATAATAAACTGAGATGTGCTAGGAACGAATAGTAAAAGATGCTATGAGAGCAACAAATCATGAGAAAACAAAATTAAGAAAACAATTAAATCTCCAATAGCACACACAAAAAACTTAGGAATCCATTTAAGAGGTACAAATCCTCTATGCTGAACACTAGAAAGTACTGCTGAGAGAAATTAAACACCTAAATGGTGAGATATGTCACATTTACAGATTGGAAGACTCAATATTGTCAATGGTCCTAAATTGATCTATGGATTCAACACAATTCTGATCTAAATTCCAGCAGACTTTTTGGTTAAATTGATTTGTATGGAAAAGCCAAAGCAATTTTAGAAAAGAACAAAGTTGGAGGACTCACTCTACCTGATCTCAAGATGTATTATGAAACCACAGTGATCAAGACTGTGTGGAAATGGTGAAAGGAAAGACATAAAGATCACTAGAGCAGAAAACAAATTCAAGAAATAGGCTCACTCATACATGATCCATTCGTTTCCAGTAAAGGTGCCAAGGCAATTCAAAAGGGAGAGGAAAGTCTGGAGTTGGATACATAGGTAAAGATTTCTTAAGACAGAAAAGCACAAACTGTAAAAGATAACGTATCTCAATTAGACTTTATTAAAATTCAAAACTTTCGTTTTTCAAAAGACAATTAAGAAAATGAAGGACAAGTCATAGAATGGGAGGAAATATTAATAATACATATATCTAACTGATAACTAGTACCCAGATCAGAATAAAGAACCCTCAGATTTTAATAATATGCAAATAAGACAATTTTTTAAGAATGGGCAAAAGACTTGGACAGATACTTCACAAAAGAAGATATGCAAATGGTCAATAGTGCTTGAAAAGATGCTTAACATCAGCAGTCATCAGAGAAATGCAAATTAAAACCACAGTGAGATACCATCACACACTAATTAGAATGCCTAAAACTTAAGACTAACAAATACCAAGTGCTGGCAATGATGTGAAGCAACTGGAATGCTCATACATTGCTGGTGGAAATAAAATGGCACAGCCACCTTGGAAAACTAGCAGTTTCTTTAAAAAGTTAAACAAAAAGCTTACCATACAACCTACAGCCAATATACTTTTAGGTATTTGCCCAAGAGAACTGAAAAGATATATTGACCCAGAAAACTAAATAACAATGTACATAGCAGTTTTACTCACACCAACCAAAAACGGGGGGAAAAAACACATGTCTATCAACAGGTGAATAGATAAATAAATATAAAATATCCATAAAGCAGAATACTCTCCAACAATAGGAAAGATGTTATGAGAACAGATAATAAGGGAATCTAACTGAATCTAGGAGGTCGGGGGGTGCTTCCTTAAGGGAGAAGTGGATAGCTGGAAGAAAACGAGGAAAACTGGGGAAGTTAGAGTGGGTAAGGAAAAATGAAAAAAGCAATTCAGGCAGAAGCTCGTTCAGGGTCCCGTGGCAGACAGAAGGATGGCACATTCACAGGCAGAAAAGATGTGCTTGCTTAGAGAATAAGGAGAGAGGAAAGTGGTGAAGAGTGAGGGCTGAAAGTCCGCAAGGGCCTCACTAGGCAGGCCTGCTAGGCCTTGTTAAGGAGTTTGATACTATCCTGAAAACAAGAAGAAACTTCCAACAAGTTTCAAATAAGAGGGTGGTACAGTTGGCTTGACATTCTTGAAAAGACCTCACTAACTATGGTGTGGAGAGTTGACTGTCAGGGGAGTGGGTGGCTGTGAGGGAGCTGGTCCTGGTCCCCTGCCAAAATCCTGGTAGCACATGACAGTGGCTTACACTGAGACAGAGATGGAGAGAGACGGACAGATTCTGTAGGCATTTGAGAAGTTAAGTTGGACTTTATCCAGAGGATAAGGAAGAGATGATGTTAAGACTGATGCTAAGATTATGGCTCAAGGGATGGAGTAGGAACAGATCCTATTCCCTGACATGGAGAATGCTGGAAGAAAGCCTTGTTTGGTGGAGAAGGTCCAAAGTCAGGTCTGAACACAGTGAATTTGAGGTGTCTGGGAAACATCAAGATGATAACGTCTACAGGGCAGGTGGCCATGCAGATGTGAAAGCTCACAGAGGCCAGGATAGTGGTTCAAAATTGGGTGTTATGAAGATAGTAATTGGCACCGTCGAAATGGATGCAGAAGAAGAGAGAGAGAGAATATGATGAGAATAAGGAGAACCTAGAACCACATCTTAAGGGACTTCAACACTTAGAGGACGAGCAATAAGGAAAGGGGAGCTCATAAAGGACATTAAGAAGTGACCAAAGAAAAGGCAGGGAAACCAGAAAAGCCTAATCAGAAGGGCAGAATTTGTGGAAAGAGAATGTTTCAAGGTGGGTGTGGGAACTGTTGAATGCTGTTAGAATAGGAAGAAAATGTCCACTGAATTTAGCAACATAGAAGTCACTGCTAACCTTAGGAAGAGGAGATCCTATGGGAAAACATGGCTGCAAACTAGATAAAGAAGTGGAGAAAGTGATTAGAAATAACTTTAAATAATAGATCCAATTTCCTACTATAAGAAAGTGGGCTATAATAATAATGAAAGAAAACTGAACTTGGAAGAGATTGTGAAATACATCACTTTTGTGAAAAGCTCAGCCCTTGAATGCAGCCTGAAAAGTTGCATTTCCTTTTCCTGTGACATAGGTGGGCATCATGATTCATGAGTTTAAAAGTTTTGTTTCTTATGGGTACCTTCATAACTACCATAAACGTGGAGGAGGGACCCCCGAGACCCCTTCAGCATAGGTGACCCACTCCCGTGATACAGGCAGAAGCAGTCCCACTCCTTCAACTCCTGTTTTGCAGTATATTTCCGCTTGGCAGTTAAATCCAGATCCTCGTGAAGATTAATAGAAAATCAGAAGAGCAAAATGGTACACGTAACTGTGGCAGCAAACAACAGAGGATGGTCTCTTCCTTAGTTCCCATCTCTCTGGGCCATGCATGTGCCCACTGGGAGGAAGAAAAAATGAGAAGATACAACTCCTTGGTTCCAGAGGAGAGGAGAGCTGAAGAGAAAGAAAAGTTAAAGGTTAATTAATATTCTGTGAGCAGGGATCAGGCCACACAGGGCAAAGCATGCCCTAGGTCAAGAGGAAAACATGTTCTTTGTTTCCTGGGGCATGTGCTTCATAGGACTTTGAGGAGCTTCTAACCTGGAGCTGTTCAGGTCCGAGAGGGGAAAATAGGGAGAAAAGAACAAGGATGGTTGGGTAGTTGCACCCAGCCCACAGGAAGAAAGGTTATATGGGGGAAAGGTACATGGTCTGAGCACTACTCCCCGCCAAAGGGCCGCGCAGGCACCCTGGCCCCTGGATCCCGGACACTTCCCTAAGTTGGCCTCATGTCAGGGGCACTCAGCCCCTGGATATTTTACCAAGTGGCTCACCTTCTACGAAGCTGTCCCCCATGCCTGGCATCCTGGAAGTGCTAAGCACTGGCCCACAGGCTTTCTATCTGCTATCTCATTGACTCCACAGAAGTCCTGGGCTGCAAGGATTCCCATCTTCACGTGGCTGAAAAGGAAACTAAAGTTCGGAAAATTGATCATCGAAGTCTAGATGAAGGGTTTTGGACGTGAGCCCACATATGCGTGACTCAAAATCCCACGCTGTTTCCGCCAGAACAAGTCGCAGCCTGGGAGAAACCAACCTGTTTCAACTAAGAAGGCAAAAGAAACGTGCTGGGGACAGAGGGCAGGAGACCACGGGGACAAGCAGAAAACTGAAGGCAAGGAAGTAGGAAACCTCTTCTGAGAACAGAATTACAGAAGAATCTGCCTAGAAAAGAGAAGGTAAGATCATCGGATGGGAAACAGGGAAAAACGCCTGGGACTGAAAGAAAATTCAGGAACGAGGGTCAGAGGATCTGGGTTTGGAAGTCAGAGAGACGCTCTCGAGGGGCAGAATGAAGATGCTGCGGGCGCCCGTTCCTGCGGGTTTGAGCGCAGACAGCGCTCAATTACTGACCTTCCTCTCTCTGGTCACATGACTCATGCTGGTATAAAAGCTTTCTACCAGCGGGTCCCTTACAATGTTTTCCTGTGTGAAGTGAGCAGCAGCAGTGGCTAAAGCCCTGTTCCTCTTTCCCAGAAGCTTCCAGACTTTCCTTCAGGACTAACCCCAAGAAGCCGTCCCTCCAGAACGAAGGCAAGGCAAGCCAGCCAGCATACTTTCCGGGCAGTGATGCTGGGCTCAGAATGGGAGGGGGGATGTTCAGGGCTGGAGGAGGTCCGGCAGAAATGGAACGAAAGGCTCATACCCAGAGGCAGGAGGCAGTGTGGGGGGCAGGGGGACATCAAGTCAATGGAGGATGGAGGGTCCAGACTGCGTGGGAAGTGAGGCTTACAAACCAAGTCTGACTTCCCCCATACAGAAGGGTTTTCTTTTTATAGTCAAAGTACGGGACTCAGAGTCAGTTACTGCCTGTGGGCTTTCCTGCATACTCTCTAAAGTCTTTGAGGGGACAAGCCCCAAAGGATAGTGCCTGTCTCCCTCCCTGCCAGCTCCCCCGCCTTTGCTCCACTAGCTTCCCCTTCTCAATAGAGTCCCAAAGTCTGGTAGGGACAGGGGAGGAAAAGGTGGCGCAGACTCGGCAGGAGGAGAGGAAGGTGAGGTAGGGGGGCGGCCAGGCACCTGTTTCCTGGGCCTGTGGAGGGTCGGTGGGGAGCCAGCCCTGGGTCTCCGGGCCGCGTTCTCCAGCGAGTCACCTTACAGCTCTCCCCGTGCGGGGAGGCCTGCCTTTTCCTTCTGCGCGTCTCTGAGGAGGGGACTTAAGGAAGGAGATGTAGGAGAGTTGGAAACTGATAACAGTAACTTCCTGTATCTGTAAGGAGAAAAGGAAAAAGCCCAGGGTTGGTCTCCCCCAGAGACACATGATGTCAAACGTAATAACTACTGCTTAATACACCGCCCCAGGCAAAGTCAATAATTGCTCTGGGCAGTTCTGGCAGGTGGTGTGAGCAGGCTGCAGAGGCTGCAGACAGCTTCGGCCTGGGAAGGGGAGAGAGCTGGGGAGGATGTCCACACCCTGGACCGCAAGAGGGTCTGCGGGCTGTGAGTGGGGCCTCCTGACCTTGCGCTTTTCCATCCTCTTCCAGAATGGTCATGCCAACCTTGCACAACTCTGTGATCCTTGCGGCCTATATCATCATCTTCCTCACGGGGCTCCCGGCCAACCTCCTGGCCCTGCAGGCCTTCGTGGGGCGGGTGCGCCAGCCGCACCCTGCGCCCGTGCACATCCTCCTGCTCAGCCTGACGCTGGCGGACCTCCTCCTGCTGCTTCTGCTGCCCTTCAAGATGATCGAGGCCGCCTCTAACTTCCACTGGGTCCTGCCCGAGATAGTCTGTGCCCTCACGGGTTTTGGCTTCTACAGCAGCATCTACTGCAGCACGTGGCTGCTAGCGGGCATCAGCATCGAGCGCTACCTGGGAGTGGCTTTCCCTGTGCAGTACAAGCTGTCCCGCCGGCCTGTGTATGGACTGATCGCTGCCGTGATCGCCTGGGTCATGTCCTTCGGCCACTGCACCATTGTGATCATCGTTCAGTACTTGCACACACACCAGAACGCCACAAATGTGAGTGACATCACCTGCTATGAGAACTTCAGCGACAAGCAGCTGAAAGTGGTGCTTCCTGTGAGGCTGGAGCTGTGCCTCTTCCTCTTCTTCATTCCCATGGCGGTCACCATCTTCTGCTACTGGCGCTTCGTGTGGATCATGCTCACCCAGCCCCATGTGGGGGCCCAGAGGCGGCGCCGAGCTGTGGGGCTGGCTGTGGTGACGCTCCTTAATTTCCTGGTGTGCTTCGGGCCTTATAATGTATCCCACCTGGTGGGGTTTTACACAAAGAAAAGTCCCCGGTGGCGGGCAGAAGCTGTGGTGTTAAGCTCCCTCAACGCCTCTCTGGACCCCCTGCTTTTCTATTTCTCATCTTCGGCTGTGCGCAGAGCCTTTGGTAAAGGGCTGCGGGTTCTGCGGCACCAGGGCTCCTCCCTGCTGGGACGCAGGGGCAGAGAGACAGATGCGACCAGGGGGGATCAGGGCGTGAGTCAAGCAGAAGGAGCGCCGAGCTCTGACTTCACCACAGAGTAGGGATGTCCCTGGACCTTCGGAGGCGCCCTGGGCTGCACACGAGCTGATCAGGCTGGGAACGGGAGAGCGTGAAGACTCGGGGTCCTCAGACCCAGCCCACTACTGGGACTGGAAAAACCTCTCTCACCAGCTCAGCATCCTTTCCTGACTGAGTTTTCCTTCCCACAGGAGCAGGGCTCCGTGACAAAAGAAGCAATGGTTAGGCAGAGAAACCCTATCAGCCCAGAGTTTCAGGAACATTGTAACGATTGCAAATTCCATCCTTGTGAGGTGATTGTAGCTGGGGATGATCACCCTCAAGTGGAAAGCTGTAAAGCTATCTTGGCACAAGCTCTGAAACAGCACCTAGACACCAGTCTAGCTGCTGATGCTGGAAAGAAGCCAAAGGGAAAGAGATGGAAGAGAAATACTAAATGAGGTTAAAGAAGACTCAGGAAGATTCTGATCCAGGGGACACAGAGGAAGGACTGAAGGCTTAGACCTCTAATGATCTAGGTATGCACTGTGGCTTTGTAAGTATGTGCCCGTCATCTTCGCCCGTGTATCTTGTTTCCCCTATTAAACTGGGAGCTGCTTGAGGCCTGCGTCTTATCTTCTCCCTCCCTGGCACCCCCCAAAGGTCAAATGGTGCCCATCAGTCAGAGAGCCACACTGATGATCTAGCACAGGAAAAGACAACCTGCTCTGGCAGACTGAAAATAAAGATTATAACACCTGCAGTGAGTGTCCACAATTTTTGTAACATTTCTGCAAGCATGGGGAGGGCAAATTGGGATGGGGAACCAGAATTCAGCAGCAAAGGAAGAAGGTGATGCATCTGAAACCACAGAAGCATTTTAAGGTAAAGATATAATGAGAGTAGAGTATGTGAAGGTACCAATGGAATCCTGTTTTCACTGATGAATAACAACTGAACTTAGGAAGAGGACATGGGGTGAGACCTGATGCAAAGCCAGCAGTGGACCACAGGGACTTAAAACATGCTACCCTCTGCAGGGTATGTAGGAAACCTGAAGACTGTTGTGAGTCTGAACTTTCCCTGTTGTGAGAAGTTTTCCTCCTAGGAATTCCTATCATATTATTCCACTGGATGCTTTGTATCCTCTCTCCTTTCCCAATTCTACCAGCCTAGGTCATTTCTCCCCAGCAAGGCCCTGGGCCACTCTGTCTAGTTAACTGATCCTCTAGCCCCTAGCCTAGTGGTTTGCAACAGAAGCTACACATCAGAATTTCAGGTCCAGGTAAAAAATAATACAGCTGGCCACGTCAAATCTACTGACTCAGCATCTCTGGGGCTGGGGCCACAGCATGTGAATTTTAAATAGTGCCCCAGGTAATTATGATCGGCAGCTCAGGTTAGGAGTCACTGGCCTAGCTCAGGGTCCCAATCTGTCCAAGAAATTATTCTTCAGAGAGACCTTCCCTGCTTATAAGTCCCCCTTCCCCAACCCCATACTCCTCCATCACCTGATTGCTTGCTCTTCCCCCTTGTATAAAACCCCACACAATACGCACTTTCTCCAGAAAGATGTCCCCGCTATTCCCACCCAATCAAGAGCTCATTTTCTCTGCTTTCCTTCTTCAAAACAACACTGGACTGGTGTCGTAAGAGCCCTGATTTCATGTTGGTTCAGCTTACCAGCTGGATGACCTTGAGCAAGTCACAACCTCCAGCCTCCATTTCAAAATCATAACAATGAGGATAGTGTGATGCCTCTCAGGGTTATTCTGAGGATTCAAATGAGACTGTGTATATAAATTTCCTGGAAAGTTTATGGTACTATTAATCTGTATGGTATCAATTTATGTGAAACAGACATACCCCCATTTAAAGGAAATAAAGTAAATAGAAATTTCAAAGTATGGAAGTAATATATTAAATACCAACTGTATATAACATGGTTTGACAGTAATGTGGGGAAAAAAATAATCAGGGATTTTCAGTCTATTGCAAGGCTTGCTATGTGTCTGTGAAGTATTACACTTTCCAGAAAAGTTAATTCAGTTTTGGGCGGCATTAAAAGAAACAGTCTAAACAGAGGGATGATAATCCCACTCCACTGAGGTCTAATCAGCACCATATTCAACACTTAGCTACTTTTCATGAAGGACATTAACTCAAGGAATCTAGCCCAGACTTAACCAAAATGTTTTGGAGATTTAAAACCATGAAAAGGTAATAATAATGATAGTTGTAGTAGTAGCAGTAGTAGTAATAATAATACACATTAAATGCTGGGAACTGTTCTACAGAAGTAACCTGAGATTAAGGGAACTTTCCAAGATCACGAAGTGAGAGGAAGTTTGAGTCCAGGTCTTCCTGCCTCCAAAGTGTCTGCTTTCTTCACTGATACATGAGAGGCAAGTAAGAGAATGCTGGGTGTGTGGCTGGAACAAGATGAGGTTCATTTTATGGAAGACACATTTGAGTAGCCCCACAACAACTGTAGTTACATCTGTCAGGGCTATTTAAAATTGAACCAGCTACTCAACATGGTAGTCACTGCCCAGTCGTTGGGGAATATTGAAGTAGAAGAGAGAAAAACACCCATTCTAGGACCCTGGAAAACATATATCTGATGAGGACTGAACCAGTTAACTGCCAAAGCACTTCCAGCTCAGAAGTTCCCAGGGTTTTAGGGACATGGCTTTTCTTACTAATCAGGAAAGTGCAAGAAAATCTCTGGACCCAGTCTGAGACTTTCAGGGTAAAGCTTTAGCTGCTCACTAGCAAGAATTTGGTCTTCATTACATCACTTGATACCTATAGCTCATTTCATCACTGGGAAATTAGTAATTCACTCATTCAACAAAT